TTGCTAACCTTGGTTGGGTTTAATGTGCCTTGGGTTGTTCACCTGGGTTGAGTTTGCGTGGCTTAGATTGCTAACCTTGGTTGGGTTTAATGTGCCTTGGGTTGTTCACCTGGGTTGAGTTTGCGTGGCTTAGATTGCTAACCTTGGTTGGGTTTAATGTGCCTTGGGTTGTTCACCTGGGTTGAGCTTACGTGACTTAGATTGCTAACCTTGGTTGGGTTTAATGTGCCTTGGGTTGTTCACCTGGGTTGAGTTTGCATGGCTTAGATTGCTAACCTTGGTTGGGTTAATGTGCCTTGGGTTGTTCACCTGGGTTGAGGTTACGTGGCATAGATTGCTAACCTTGGTTGGGTTTATGTGGCTTACACCCACCAGTTTGGCTGTGCAGTCTGTAACCAGGTCAGGCATGTTGTGTGAATGTACTCCGGGTGTCCATAAATACTGCATGTAGACTGTCAAATTCTATAAATGATGACCCGCTCTGGAGGGTAATGCCGTGTAACGTGTATACACCATCACTCCAAGACGAGGGGAGAAAGGCTGATTCCTCTGCAGGAGAGCCATCAGGAGCTGGATGGGGGGGCTGCAAAACCTCTGCAGCTTCACTGCTCCTCCAGCAGTGCTCGGTAGGCACGTAAAAGACCATATAGTGCTTCCTCTGGTTAATGATTTTACCAGAAAAGGTCTCCCGAGTCCTCCACTTCCATCCCCTTCCAACTTGGATAAAATTCCCTATCAGATGGGAGAGAGCATCTCTCCCCCCCCCCACCACCCCCTAAAATAACTAGCTTTCCAGATGGCAGTGTTGTGGGTAAATGTTGGCTTAAAAGGAGCTCAGACTCATTAGGAGCTACCGTAGTTTCTCTTTGGGGGACTTCGCCCAAAGAGCCTTTGTGTGTCTGCCGTCCTGAGTTTCATGGAACTTGGTCTCTGGATTGGAAATCTTTCTGAGAGAGGGAGAGAGAGAAGAATGCGTGCCGGCGGGGGGCAGGGGGTGGGGATAAAACTTAGTCCTTTCTCTTTTCTTTCCCTATCGGCAAAGCTTGTCTAGTGCGGAACAGTTGTCTAGCAGCTCGGTCTGGCTGGGGATAATGGCAGCTGCAGTCCGGCACATCCAGAGGTTGGAGAGGACCGGTCTTAAGCAAAGCAGGCTTGTTTTGTAGAAATTTGCTGTTCCCCACCACCTTGTTCTTTCTCCACCCCCCTACACACACACACACACACACACACCGATTTCTTTGTGTCTTTGTTTTGTGGTTCAGAGGATCTCCAGCGGCTGGGATTCTTGGTTCCAAATCCAATTAAAATAAATGCAAGCGCCAGGGACCGGAAGGCTGAAGAAAGGTACCGCAACGAGTACAACCAGACTCACCTGCTTAAAAAAGCTGCCGCGTGGAGAAAGTCCCCATCCTTTCTTCCTTGACTTGTTTGCTCGGTTCCGGAAGCTGTGTCTTTTTTGTGCTGTCAAGCATCTGAGCCAGCTTCAGTCCAGCCTTCTTGCTGCCCGTGCAAAGCATTTAACTTCCTTCAGGGTTTCCCTCCTCTGCTCTTCGGCCCCTCTCTGACTTTATGAATGATTCACAAGGCTGCTGGCAGGGCCTTGGAACATTGTAAGACAATTTGACCAAATTTAGCAGGGGAGAAATACCTCAGCATTCAGAAATAGCTGACTGCAAGCTCCAGCGTTTCTGCAAAAAGTCCAGCCTTCTCTTTGAGTCCAGAAAAGAAACAGAGATGTATTATGGCTGCTGTTAAGCTTGGGCTTGCTGTGTTAGGAGAAGCCAACCGTTGGGACTTGTGCATTGTTTATAGCTAAATGAAATGCAGAGTGTAAACTCATTATTCAAACCTTGGTTATAGCCAGCTACAGCTTACAGCGATGTGTGAGCTTGATTAATAAGCCATGGTAAATTATGGTTTGTTTAAATGTGATCTGCAGAATAAGTCATATTTGGCTGCTTTGGTGCGATATGGAATGCTGTAAAGCAAACAATTGGTGTGTTGGCTTCAACGTGATGTACAAACTCAGCTTGTGTGGTATAGAGGTGGATTTCTGGCATTTGATCTGGCTAGGGTTACCTGTATCAGGGTTTCAAACATCCTGATGACTATTAGATGAAAGCAACAAGCTTAATTTTTCTATATCTTTACTGTAGATGTGGATTCTTGCATCCTGGGTGTGATAACCTTAATCCCAGGACCCCAAGTTCACATCTTGACATAGGGACAAGTTTGGGGGTGAACTTAAGCCTTGCAAGGTAGTAGGAAATATATGTTTCAAAACTAATGACTTTGATCCAAGTTACCTTGATCTCTTCAAATAAAAGCTAGCATAACAATGGCTTTAGGATGATGCACAACATCATCAACCAGGACAAAAACAAAATTGGGTTTGGGGTCAGTTCCTCTGTCATTTTGTCAATTTCCCAACTTACGTAAACTTATTTGAATGTGTCTACCTTATTGTGAGAAATATATGCTTTAGAGACCTCATTCCAGCCACCAGTTCTTCAGGGGCCTAAGACAAGTTCAACACGGGTTCTATAATTTGGGGGTGGTAAAATGCAAATTAATCTGGTCATTCCTGTTTTGAAAAAAAAAATGGAAGAAAAAACAGAATAACTTCTCTGTTTTGTCACAGAAGGTCTACTACGGTGTGTTTTAATTTCCGTTTTTGGGGAAAGAATATTAAGCATCTAATCCCTGCCTGTGGAAATTAATTTCCATGGGTTAACTTTGATTTGAGAGTGAGTTGGGCCTCAGTCACTGGGTGAGTAAAAACAAGATGATGATCTTTTCTGGAAAGTGACAATATATTTTAAATGAGTTGTGTAGTATAGGACATCCCGAAGGACCACTTAGTGTAGGATAGAAGGACACCCAGTTGCACCACAACATTGAATCTGTATGCTCATATTTTGCACAGTCTGGTTATTCCTGTTTGACTTTATTTTTAAGAGAGTGCATCTCTTGAATTAAGTAACGACCAAAGGGGGTTTGATTCTACATTCTGCTTCAGTCCTCTTTAAGGCCAGACAGTATTTTTCAACCCCCAAACCACCTGCTATGAATTTCTACTGAGGTTCTACACAGTAGCCTTTTTCAGATACAATAACCCCTGATTGTATAGCTTAATGGGGGGAAAGGGGTACATTAAAGCAGAATGTCCACTAAATCCTCATGGAATGCATAAAATGACAAATGGGAATTGACACCTTCATAGAAACATACAGGGTACAGGTGAGTTTAGATTGTTGGAATTGAAGCTCACTAAATAGAGGTCTGTTAAATCAAGAATTGTGATGGGAAGAAGGAAGAACCTTGAGGAAGCGGAGGAAGAGTTGCAACCAAGACAATGGTCAGATAAAAGGAATCTGAGTCTGGGGCAGAAATGTAATTTGAGGAAGTGTCTCATACATGACCCTCCATAGTTCTCATGAAGATAAAGGGAGGGAGAAGGGAAGCACATTCAGACTTGCAAGATTCTGTTACTATAACCCTATAATAAAAGTAGTAATCACTTGCATGTCCTTGGTTTCCAACTTTGGTCTACTTTGGAGGGCTGACATCAATCTTGCGGCTCTTCCTCCTATTCCTCAAGGTTATTCCTTCTGTCCGTTAAAAGAATTTACTGCATTAGAAAATGAAA